CGAGCACCAACAGGAAGGAGAAGCTGAAACGCAACAAGGATGATCACCTACAATCTTACTTCAACTGAGGTAAGCACTACCATTCACCATTGTCAAATACCATCTTCTGTTTATTTTGTTTCTGTGTTGTTTTTGTCCTGAGTACTCTCTTCCAAGTTTGATCACACAGAGGACTGTGTGATTCGAGTTTGGGGGAGGGCTCAGGAAGTATCTGATGTGTTTGCTTTGCTCTTGTTTTCAAATTTTTCTTGCATTGTACATACTGTCTGCATTCATCTATGTTATTGAAAAAACCCTAAAAATTTGAAAAATTTCTGAAAATGATTTCACAAAAATAGAGTGTTCATGTAGTTGCATTTTCATTTTAAGATTGAGTCTAGAAGGTTTCATATAGGATTGTTGCATTTGTATAGGGGATGATGATGAGATAACCTTGTAAGTATGCTCATTTACTGAATGAATTCAATGCCCTCGTTATTAGTTGTTTAATGCTTGTGATAGAACTTGAATTAAGACTGCACCATATTTGGAATTCACAACTTGACTCTCTTGTTTTAATTGAAGCATGCTTGATGAGATTCTTTTCCCTATCTATTAGAACCTAAACTTGACTTGTAATTATCATGTCTTTGCATTGTTGTTGAACTTGTGGCTACCAATACACATACTTGGATTTTCTTTCACCTTCTACCACTCTTGCTAATCCAAGTAGCTGATTCCCATCATTGGAACAGTTTCCCCCACCCTGAACCTAACCTTTCTTTCAAACCCTGAATAAATTTGTGTGTGTGTGAGGCCTATTTCCGGATTGAGCTTGGTAGAAAGTGTTAGGTATGAACCGACAAGAATAGTATCCCATGTAGTTCTAGTCCATGCTTTTTGGGCTAGATAGGACTAGGTGGGAGTTTTACTTTGGGTTTTGGAATGTGTTTGGAAAGAAAATGAGAAAGAAAGACAAGTGTTATTGTTCTTAGGAGATGGAAGTGAAACAGAAAAGAATATCTTGTTAGTCTAGTAAAGGATTTGGGAAGTTTGAAAATAAAAGAAGTTAGGCTCTGTGCAAAGTAAAAAGAAAGGCAAAAGCCTAGAGTTGTCTTAAGTCATGAGATGAGAAGAAGAGCTTTAGTTGTTAAAGAAAGTCCCAATCCACTAGAAAGTCTAAAAGAAAACCTCTCCTTAGAACAAAACCAAAAAGAAAGAATGGGTTGATCCAAGAGATTATCGAAGCATGCCTTGAGTACAAAGGGTAGAATTAGGATCATTTCTGGGGTTTAGAGATAGGACCATCTATGGAGTTTGATATGATTATTGTTATTTGGGTAGATGGGGTCTGTTCTTGTATGTGTAGGTTGGTTCTAACCTTTAGCATTCTGCTAAAGCTCTGTCCATTCATGAGAGTTCCCTGTTACTGTGAAAAAGTCTGAAACCATTTACAGAGGAACCATCTTTGTTTCTCAGCCTTGTCCTTTAAACCAAACGAGTTCTTCAACAATGTTTTGCTTGATTCATGGTTTGAGCTTAATCAATGTTAAAGGGAATTGATGATCTGAAGGTGTGTGTAGATTGGAACAAATGTTAGGTTGTCTTGTGATGAATATGGCTAAAGTTTTTAAGTAGAGTTTGGTCTCTAAGCATTCCACAATTACTAACTTGGACATTGAGTTCATTTGCTTTGTCTGCATGCTTTGGTTCTGAGTCCCCGCTTTCAAACCTCTCCTCCACCTTGTTCTTAATTGTTTGCTTGAGGGCAAGCAAAGACTAAGTTTGGGGGAGTTGATATGTCTATATTTTACTTGTTTTGAGCATCCATTTAGCATCACTTTATCATCATTTCGTCATTGTTTCGTACCATTCTTCATCATTTGTCATCACTTTGCATGATTAGGATAGTTTTGCATGCATGTTGCATATTTGAGTTGTTTTCAGGTGATTTGGAGCTGTTGGTGAGCAAATTGGAAGAAGTGGACCAGAACCCATCAGTATGCTCGACCACGAGGTCGAGCACCATCATCATGACCTTCCAAATGCACTCGACCACGACAAAGTCGAGCACCAAGTCGAGCACCAACTCGAGCACCAACTCGAGCACCAAGTCGATCACCAACTCGACCTACCACTCGACCTCATGGTCGAGTACCAGCTCCTTCACCAAGTAGACCACGACTCCAGATCACGACTCGAGCACGCAGTGGAGTATCCTCCACCAACTTACTCGACCAAGCACTTGACTGCACGCTTCAGAGGCTTCTCAGATCCCAACTCAACCAGACACTGAGCATAAGGAAGAGAAGAAGATGAAGCGGGACTCGAGTGGATACTCGACCTAGTCACTCGATCGCATCACAACCAGATCAAGAAACCGCAAAGGAGCCAGCTTTGCTCGACTTCTTCACTCGATTGCACGAAGCCGAATGTCTCCGTAAACCGCCTTAATACTTTGTCGTCTTGTGATTTAGGGTTTCCTAGTATTTGCTATAAATAGGTTGTTTCTCATAATTTTGAGACGAAGTTTTATTCTGTCTAAGTTTTATTCTGCAGAACAATTAGTGCTTTCTTCATATTTGTAATCTAGATTTCTCTTAATCTATTGAGTATTTGCTTTTGATTTCTTCTACAAAGTTGTTCATCTTGTTGAGATCTTGCTAATATGAAGTTTTTATGTATTTCTGGGTTTGTGTTCTTGGTTATGAATTTTGAGTAGTGATTAGGGTTCTTGAGGATGGGTTAGAGTAGTTTAGAATCCTTGATCTGCTAGGTGGTTGAGTTTGATTGGTAGATCCCTTCTGGATTAGTTGTTCTTAATGCTGATTGCTTTCTGATCAACTGGAATCTGAGCCCAGACATTTCCGCACCCAAAAGGTGTTCGATGAAATGTCTGAACCACTAATTCCAGAGATTCGTGGCTCTGCACCAAGGTATTGGTTACAGGGAGCGTTTTGGCTTAGACTTGTTGATTCGTAATGCCTGTTAGGTTAGCTCTCGTCAATGGTGATTGAGTCTGGGACTAGCTTTGCTTGAGGATCTCTGTTGCGGTAGCACTTTGATTTGGCTATTGAACTTGTTGTCTAGGGATAGTTTGTTGAGCATGTTAACCACCTGTTAGATTAAGGAGACTTCACTACTCGATTACCCCATCCTCGGGAATTTCTCTTCCAATTGATTTCTTTGTTCACATCGCTATTGATTGCTTGATCTCGTTACTTGTTGCTTAGTTTTTGCATTTTTACTTATTTCACTTGAAGTACTCGACCACACCCAGCGGTTTGGAAACGGACTGTGAAGTCGAGTACATTTGTTGCAGTTTCTGTTTGGTACTCGACCTGGCACTCGACCACATCCAGTGCTTGGCATCAAGCTGTGTGATCGAGTGTGTTGTCTGTTTCTGTTAGAATTATTGTTTTCTGCATGATCACTGGAACTGTTAACAACCTCAAAACCTGTTATTGCTTGGCTTGACTCTGTGAAATCTGATTGCATCTTGATTGCTAGCATCACACCCATTTGGATTGACACCTTAAATACTACAATGACATGATAGTGATTTAAGGATAATTGATCTTAGTTAAAATCTTACTATCAGGCCGCTTGGCAGCAACCCTCTCAACGCAACAGGTAACAAGTTTTGAATGAGTACATGATGATCATGGGACTTCAAACTCCCAATCACAGGAGGGTTGACTGAAACACAATTAGCAATATTCCCACAATAACCATCAGGACCTCTGAAATTAGACAACCTCTTGCAAAATACCTTTTTCTCTTCCTTAGACATCCAGTAAGCTGCTGGAGGCAAATATGTTTTCTTTCCCCATACCTCTGGGTGCAGATGCCTTCGGATTCCAATATCTTCCAGGTCTTTTCTTGCTTTCAAGCCATCTTTTGACTTGGCACTTTGCATCAGTGTAGACAACATAGCATCAGACAAGTTCTTCTCCACATGCATCACATCAATATTGTGACGCACCGGCAAATCCTAAGACAAAGATAATCAAAGAGTCAGCTTTACGATCATATTCTCATGTCAATTTACTTAAGTTAAATTTAAAAAACAACAAAATCTATTACCTTCCAGTAAGCTAACTCAAACAATATTGACCGCTTCTTCCACCGCCATTGATCAGTGCTTTCATCACACTCTTCCTCTGGAACCGCCTCATCTTCTAACAAATCTGATCTTTTTCTTTTAGCTTCCTTATCTAAAGCTCTTCCAAAATCATTCTTGAAGTCTTTCAGTATGTCAAATATTTCAGTACCAGACTGAACCCTTTTTGCAGTGCCTTCCTCGATAGTGTTATCAAACCATGCTTTTCTGCGTCTGTAAGGATGTCCAGGTCTGAGTCGCTATCTGTTACCCATATACACATACTTTCGACAGTTCTTCAACCACCTACAAGGTGTATCCTTTCCACATACATTACACGCTTGTTTCCCTTTCACTTTACATCTAGACAAGGTCCATAACGCAGGATAGTCACTGATACTCCACAACAACATAGCTCTAAGTGTGAAATTCTCTTTCAAAAATGCATCGTAGACCTCAATACCCTCATTCCACAAATCCTTTAAATCATCAACCAATGGTGCAAGATAGACATCAATATTGTTGCTGGGAGCTGTTGGACCAGGAATCAACAAAGTCAACATTATATTCTCAGCCTTCATACACAGAGTTGGAGCCATATTGTAGTTCACTAACAATACTGGCCAAGTACTATACTTGGTGTTCTGAATGGAGAAAGGGTTCATCCCATCCGTAGAAAGACCGAGACGAAGATTTCTTGGATCAAGAGCAAACTCTGGCCATTTCTGATTCACCTGAGCCCAAGATATAGAATCAACAGGGTGTCTCATTGTACCATCTTCACTTGCATTACTCGAATGCCAACGC